ATGCAGGTGGTTCCTCAGATACTGCTCCTCCTGATTCAGTCATAACTACTTTCCATAGTGCCCCTATCAACTAGAAGTCAAGGGTCAAGTCTGACCTGATATGTTCACAACCTTCCTCAGCTTCTGGTCCATAGTGCAGACTGTCTAATCTTTTTAGTAGGAAATTGCCTTGTAAAATTATTAGCCAAATTTTCATCTGAAATTGAGACTAGTGGTCTCTGTGACTACCTTATACTCACATGTCTGCCAGAAAAACTACTATCATCTCTAATATCTATAACCCACCAAACTGATTTTTAAGTTCCCACATTTTGTGTTTTCCAATCATAGACCCAAGAGACTTTAGACAAGTCTATCTCACACCTTAGCAGCTGCACCCTCTGCCTGTGTGCACATGCTCTGGATTCTGCTTTAGTAATATGTCCTCCTTTAACTCACCCTTTTCCATTTCCCTTGATGTTGTATGATGTTTTAGAATATCACTTATAAATTATACAAGGGGAGATGTTACTCAGATGTAGGAAAGCTTTGACTATTACAGTTAGGCTATTTAAAAGAGTTTTCATAGCAGGGGAAAAGCTATAAATATTTTGAATATAAATTGACTTGTTAGTGATATTGAATTCTAGTCTATAATAAAAAATGCCTATTTTTTTTTTGCTGGATGTATTAGAATAATATAAATCTGAATCATTTAAATACTTCATTAAGCCTCACTCTTGTTATTATTATCCACTCTCTCTTTCCCCACTGCCTGCCATGACTATCTTTTGTTTATTTGTATAGTCAAAACCCAGTAGGAAGCCTTATATATCTAGTAACTCAAGTAGATCCCTCATTTACCAGACCCAATTTTCTATTCTTGAGGCCCTAAGCAGTATCCATATGGCCTAGTAAGGCACACTGTAACCCCTCAGTAAGTAAGTATGAAATGAAAATTTTAAAATGCGTTTTTAGCATTTGAAAAACCACTATGTCTCCATCTTATACATTAGATTATTTACTGAATCTACTTGTGCTTCTATACAACTACAATCAGTTTCCTTTAGAAAAGATGTCATATATGAGACTATATTCTCTACCAGAGATTTAATCTATAATCTATAAATGATATATTTAATGTGTACAAAGTTATATAATAAATATTATATGTAAATATATAAAGGTATATAATAAATATTATATGTAAATATATAAAACTATATATAATGTAGAAAACAATGCTTGAAACATATTAAGTAGGCATGTTCTCAGCTTCCTGTAGGGCACTATGGAGTTCAGTTATCAATTTACCCTAGGTTTTTATGACCTAGCAGTTTTCCACATGCTGTCATTTGTATTACCTCTTTCATCCTCTCTTTAACCCTAGACAGATATTATCTCTGTTACACGTGTCAGTAAGGCTTATGTAAGTAGTCCAGTGTCGCGCTAGTAGTGGAAAGCTCAGACTATAATGCATGTCTTTGTCATTATGCATGTGGAGAAGGAGGACAAGAATAGCCACCAGAATCCCAGAAGTTTGTCTTTAACTGAAGAATAGGTTGTGTTGAAAGTGATAAGATTAGAAAAGCTATTGGAATTAGGAACAGGGCAGGAGAAAGAATTGTAGGAAGTGGAAGACACTGAAAATCTGTGACTGAGGGATTAATATCATGATTCTGCTGTGGGATTTATTAGTATTATGTGCAATGAATGAGAAATAAATTGGAAACAAATGACTCCACAACTCATGTGCTATTTCATGTGAGAAATAACTGAGTACATAAAGTTTGGTTAGAAAAGGGAACTATGGCTCCATTCATGAGATACTTGGAGTGTATTTAACAAATTTGGCTACTGGATGGATGGGACAAAGGAAAACAGAAAGAAAACTGTGTGACGTTTTCTCCCACCACTTCCCTGGCCCCCTCTCCATCTATGACCTTTACCCTCCTGCATGCTTTGTCCTTCTGAGTGACTGTATCAGTGCCTCGTTTGTTAATTGACCTAAAGTGTTAGTGAAGACTTTCTATGTAATACTAGCATTTTGCTAGGGGCTAAAGTTAAGTAAAAGCTACAGTCTCTGTCTTCAGTCAACTCTTAGCCTATTGCTGGAAATTATGAAGTTAGCAGTGTTAAGGACTTGCTATACCACTTGTTATCAGAACATAGAACACACAACTAGATCAACACAGAGTGTATCAAGAAGTATTCTCACATCTCTTTATGAGGAGTTAGCTTGGTGCAAAAATTGGGAAGGAAATATTCTGGGTAGAAAGAACAGCTTGTTAAAAGGCATGGAATAGAGAATCTGGAGCCATGGTAAAAATTGTTCTGTGATCCTAAAGATGTTAGCAGCTGTCCACTAAGAGTAAGGGGAGTGTCCTACCTAACCCTAAATATAATTGTCACATTCAGGTGATTTGATATTGTAAAACATAATTAATATCCAAGCTATTTTAAATTTTTTTCTAATTAGCCCAAAAATATCATTCATAACTTTTTTGCAATCTGAGAACAAATCAAAGATTGTGTGTTGCATTTAGTTATCCTGTCTCTGTGCTCTCCTTTAATATAGAACAGTTCCTAACCTTTTTTCTTTCCCTCTCCTATCCTCTCCCATTTTTTTTCTCTTCTCTTCTTTTGTGATATTGATTTTAGACACTAAGCCAAGTCATAGAACCACTTTGTATCTGAATAATCATTTCTTCATAGTTAGAGTCATATGAAATGTTTTTGTGCAAAGTACTGCACATGTCCCGCGGTGTGCTTGTCTTGGAGTACCCCTTCGGGAGACTGCCTATCAGTGTTTCCCATTTTTAGTAATATACAATTTGATCACTTAAGTAAATAATAGCTGTAGATTTTCTGCATATCCTGTTCCCTGACAACTTTGTTTTTAGCAACTATTGATCATTGCTTCCCAGATCATTTCTTAACTATGTGTGTAGTAAGTTATTTGGTGAATTTTCTGTTTCCCCATCTTTAATAATGATTGGTTGACAGTTGACATTCTGTAAAGAAGAGCTGCTCTTTCCTTATACTTAATGTACCCTCTCCCCCCCAGTATTAGTTCAGCATTCTTTTTGCCAGTGTATAACAACTCATTTTCAGCATTACTTGTTGAGACATCCCTCTGTTTCTGAGCACTCCCTTATTTTCTGACACCATATGTTTCTAGTTCATTTTACAAATTCTTGAGCTGAGCCCTGGAATCGGCCATTTTTCTAAGTATTCTGGCTTCTGTTAGTGAGTAATGATATTTAGAAACGACGATCTGAGGACTAGGTGTTCATTGTCACTGCAGTATCATTACATGTGAACTCTTTGGGGGCACTAAGCTAGGAAAAGTATTTTTTTAAAACTTTGAATGTCTTTAAATCCATTCCAAAACTTTATGCTTCTTCCTCTCTTTCTCTCATTCTGCATTTGTATTTTATTTCCTTGTGAGCACTTGTGCTGCCCCGAACATCCTGTTCTAAATCTTACTGACATAGGAGTTTCAGAATCAATAAACCAATACTACTACCAACAATGAATTTACTAACAATTCAAATTTTCTTTGCAGTTCTTTTTTTCCAAGAAGTGTACTCCATTACTGTGATGCCTGCTTTCTTAAAGTTTTGGATTTTTGTAATGTTTCTTTTTACTAATGACATATATTCATTAGCTTAAATGTTTAGCATTGCATGCATTTCTTTTCAGGAAAAAAATATAGTTGAGTTGAAAACTGTAAATTTTCAAAGATAGCTAGGTAGTTACTAATTAAAGTGTCTGGAATATTTAATGTATTTTAATTAAAATGGCCATTAAGCCACTTTAGATTTAAATTTGCATTTAAATTAACAACCTCCAAATACTCTATTTTTCACCCACCTTTATTCTGATTACACCTGTAACTTTAGTACTTTTCTAAAAATATGAATAGAACCAGATGGAAAAAGGGCTTTACATATTTATATTTATATATCTGTTTATAAACTGTAAATGAGTGTGTTATTTGTACTCTACTGCATTCATTTGTCATCTGTTCACTGCAAAGGATTGAGTGTCAGAAAAAGAAATTCAAAATCCAGAGGAAAATCGTTGTCTATTACTTTAGACATAACTGGATACTAGCCATACAATTGCATAGTGGATACCTGCATATAACCTCCTTCTGAGGCACAATAAAATGTCTTGTTTTTATTTGAATTTGGGTTGGGTCATTGGTATCTTGGAGGCTCTTTGCCCAGCATTCTTTGACTAATTAACACTGACAACTATAAATAATTATGACTATTACAAGATATTGTAGAGGTAATTGGCTCAATAATCACACCCTTCATTAAATGTATGCATACTGTCACTTTGAACCAATCACCACTGTATTCAGTACTTTAGATGTTGAGAGCCTCTTTGGTTTATTTGTCATTATAGAAAACAAACTTTTCATGCATTTTATGAAAGTTTATAGTAATTATTCTTTGTCACCTGAAAGCAGGGGATGTCTGGTCTCTGGTATGAAGAATAGTTTCCAGGAGTATGTTCACACAAGTTAGTTTGGAAATACAATTTTGTACAGTAAATTTAGACATTGAAATCTCCATAACAACAAACAAAACCACTTTCCCACACCTGGTCGATTTTACAATAGAAGCTGATGCTTTGAAAATAACCCATTTCTATAAGGGAAATGTGATTTATGATAACCTAAGACACAGCTATGACTAGAGCCACATTCCATTTAAAGTTATTGTGCTGTGGGATTATAAAGCAGTGCTCTGAACTGAATCAGTAGAACACAGTCCTGTTTTAGTGGACAGTAACAAAGGCACTAATGAGACAGATTTCATTAAAACATATTTGATTTATGAGAGTGTTAAAGTCCTATCTTATTGAAATTGCTGGCTTAGTTCTGGCATCTGATCTTCCATTGCCCTCCCCACCCCCCCAATCACCATCACTAGTTTTTCTGTATGCTTTGACATTGCTATGGTAACCCTAAGGGCTGATGGGATTCCCTGCATCTCTTTTCACAGAGGGTGATGAGACAGGAGTGATGGATAGTCTGCTGGAGGCCTTGCAGTCGGGAGCTGCCTTCCGCGACCGAAGGAAAAGGACACCTAAGCCGAAAGGTGAACATTATCCTTGTTTCATGTTACTTTCTAAGCAACTATCACAAAGAACAACCTTTTTTTTCTTTTTAAAATTCTTTTAAAGTCATGTGTCAAGAATGTAGTGCTACAGGCAGGAATTCTTCAGAAGTTTCATAAGTTTGCTTAATCCTTCCTTGCAATGACAAATGTCAGCAAGACAAGTATTCCAGTTGGCTGATGTCAGTAGCACATTACCAAATCAATGCACTGAACCTAGAAAATCCTGATTAGTGTGACAAGTCTCATCTAAAGAACCATATGTACCTTATCCCAGTGGAGTTTATGGGAACATAATTAAATGGGAAGTAAAAGTCATAATGATTACTTCAAGTATTTCAGGATATTGAATTGCTTTGTTTCTAGAAATACTTAACCTTAGGAAAAAAGTCTAATACAGTTTATGTTCCTTGAGATTAACAGACTTCTTTATTAAGGTGTTTTCCTTTTTTTAAACAGATATTCGACAAAGTCTCAGCCCACTGTCACAGAGGCCTGTTCTCCAAGTTTGTAACCATGGTAATAAACCGTATTCATAAATGCTATTCTTCTTACCTACTTTTATCTGTTGACCTGTGATTTTAGTAGATTGCTGTGAAGTCCCCCAGTTTCCATATAACTAAAATAGGAAACATGTGTGGATGCACATATTTGCTATGAGATTGTATACTCATATTTTCCAAGCCTACAGTATTGCCTTGACGTAATATCTAGGGTTCTTCTTTCAAGTTTTGAATGAATGTTTTTTGTTTCTATTATATGAAGTTACACTTCTGTCAGTGTTGTCTAGTACATCCTTTCAAATGCATTGTGCTCTTGTAATATTAGTTTAAGTAGTACTTTAAGATATAATTTGAAGTACTGAGTTTTATCTATTTTCCTCAACTGCATTTGCCAGTACAGTTTGAAATGCAGGTCTCACCTTTTTGTGAAAATCATTATTTCAGATGAGTTTCATGTGATATGATGGGGAAGGATGTGCCAGAATCACTGAAACGGTGCATCAGCCTACTGGCTGATGTTACAGAGATTGACTCAGAAATCCCCAACCAAGTGCTGCACCCCCACCCCCACTAAAACCCTTCTCTTCATGGTGCTAGTTAGTCTTGACTGGGTTGTATTTACTTTGGTCCCCTTATTTTCACTGTTATTTGGGTGGGGGTTGCTGGGCAGGGAAGGGGATTTTCTGTTTTACTCGCATAGTCAGAAACAAAACCAACTGTTGTGATTGCCTTTTATTCAAAGTGTTGATTTCACCAAAGTTTGTGGAACTTTTAAATGAAAAAAACATATTTCGTTTAAGGGTTGTTTCATTTAAGCACTGTTTTTCAACGTGGAAAAGGTAAGTTCTAATGATAGAAATGTTATTAATGTGTGACTAAATACAGAAGCTTGCGTCAAATTTCCTGGAAAGCCTGAAAAATCATAAGGTAAGTAATATATAGATATCAGTATAATGCTCTCGGAATGGTTGTGCAGATCCTTTCTGCTCCAGTTAAAATATATATATAGTAGGTGCTTACTGAATGAGAAGGCAAAACTCTGCATATCTTTAAATCTTGTAACTCTTTTTAGCAGTCTGTTTATGTTAATGTTTGCCTTATCCTACTCTAACACTAGGGAAGAATTGTGGAGAAGTAGTCCCTAATTTTGGACTTAAGATTTAGTCATTGTGGCATATTGAAATAATAACAACAATAATAATAAAAATGTATATAAGATAGAATGTTTTGGGGACTTAGAGATTGTTTTGTAGATGAATAAATGAAAATTCAGAGAGGCTGGACTTCCCCAAAATGCAGAGGTGTAGTTAGTGACAAATCTGAATCCAGTTTTGATTCCCACTGTACTTCTCTTGATTACATATGCATACTTTAATTTTTTGTTATTCATGAAACAATAAGCAATTCTGCCCATATTGCTTGCAAGTCATTAAGAAATAACAACTAAAACAAAGATCATGGTTTGATTATAATGGTATACATATACCCATGTTATGCTTAGTTTAAAATAGTTCAGGTATCTATAGAAGGAAAAGATAAATTTATGTGCTGTTTTTGTTGAACCCAGTCTTTCAGTAACTGTAATGTTAACAAAGTGTCCAGGTTATGAAAGTTTTGTTTCTTTAAAATTGTGATAATTCAATGCATTATAGAAAAGCAAATGAGGATTGCTTTCTATCTTTACTCAAGTTTATGTGTTCTAATTTAGGTTCTAAAGACTATTGTGATAGTTATGCTAGTAGGTTACACAGCAAGTCAGAGGACATAGATCATTAAGTGCAAATTCTATATTCTAAGAGTACAAAAATGCTTAAAATCTTTTTTTCAGTTATCTGTTGTGTTTTCCCTTCACATTTCTAGATAAGAATCATGATTATCTTCAGAAAAAGATGGTATTTGAGTATATTTTGTAATCTATTTCTAAAAACATTTTCTTTGACAATAGTAACTCTTGTGCTATATGATTGAAATGTAACATTGAATCCCTTTTGCTTTTTAATTTGCTTTCATGTACTCAAAATTCAAATGTGATATTTTTATTTTATATAAGTATATTGTAGTTAAGGTTTTTAACAATTTGTAAAATCTCCCATGGTTATTTTAAATTTCTTTACCTCCCGGGTAAAATAATATTAGCTTGTAAGCTAGTTTTTTACTATTTGGCTTATTAAATGCCAAAAACTATACTTGTAAATATTTGTTACTCTCAGTAATCCTGTCAGTGAATCAGTATTTTCATCTATATTTGAGATTTGAAAATAGCCAAGGATTCACTAGGTCTGATAATTTGCTTATAGTGCTATGGCCAAGTTTCAAACCCAGGTCTGTCTGACTTGCCAGTCCAAGTTCTCAGTCTTGCTGCCAAATCCTTTTCTGAATACAGTTGTTGGAATCTTCTTACTTTGGAACTAATGATAAATCATGCGTATTTTTTTTTTTGGTCTGGTGACAAAAGTTTGAACTATTGAGATACACCCTCTTAGAGGTTTTCTTACCTGTGGGGGTCCCCCTCTCTTCTTGCTACATTTAACTACTAGTTCAGCATTCTTTTCCTTTTCTGAGACTTGAATTATAAAGATACACTAGTTCCTGAATTAGCATCACTGTTTCTTTTAATATATTTTTTATGAAAGTATATCAATTTTGGGCCATCCCTGGTGGCACAGGGGTTAAGATGCAGTGCTATGAAGCTATCCACAGCCACTACAGCATGTGTTTGACCCCTGGCCAGGGAGGTGACCCACGTGGCACAGCAGACCTCACCTGTCTTGCCTGCTGCTCAGCAATGTGTCTCAGTAGATCTGCCTGTTCTGTTCCCTACTCTGTCTGGTGAATCCTCACCACCTCTCCATGTCTGATCTGTACACCAGCTCTTGTGTGCATAAATAAATAAATCTTAAGAAAATAAAGAAAAAATATCAATTTTAACAAATGTATACTGTACTACAAAGAGTTAGGTCATATAGTAGTATATTAATATAGTAGCTGACATTAATATATAATAATGTAGTGATCGACCTAGCTTATATAATAGTATATTAATATAGTAGCTGACATTAATATATAATGATGTAGTGATCGAGCTAGCTTATATAATAGTATATTAATATAGTAGCTAACATATTAATATGTAATGATATAGGGATCAATATGTAATGTTATATTAATATGTAATGATATATAAACTATTATGTGCATTATTTAGAGCTACAAATCTTTAAAGCCAAGAATTGTTTTTATCTTTTAATATTTTGTTTTCTGTATATTTGTGTCTTTTAAACCAGAGCTATGATCCAAAAGTCATTCAGTTTTACATAGACATTTAAAATAGATAAATCGACCAATCTATCTATATATCAAGAGAGATTAAACACAGACCTCCAACATTTTGACACCTATGAGCTGGCTTCAAAAGTGTAGATATTGTATACTATGAATAACCCAATTCTGTGCTGTGCGCCAAACTGCTACCAAAAATACTTTGGTCCATACCTTTGCCTGTTTTATTTTTTGTTTGGTTGTTAAGGCTTAGACAGAAATCAAGCATTTGCTATTTTCTTTCATTACTGGTTTAGCAGAATTCATTAAGCATTTGCTAGACCCCTGAAATAGGTGCCTTCTAAGAATTTACATTTATTTGGGAGACATATGGCTAGTAATTTTTGTGCATTTAGTTAATGATAGGATAGAAATATACGCAAAAAAGTTTCAATTGACCAAGATGTCCAGGACACCAGTGAGGACAATCCAGATATAGTTCCTAGAAGGACGTGAAGTACAATTTTAGTTGAAAGAGAGGAGTACAAATGAAAGCAAAAAATTTTAGTGCAAGGGGAAGCCCAGAAGCAACAGAAACATGTGTATACTTTCTCAAGAGGTCCTGTTTGTACCCTAACATGTATTCTACAAAACTACATGTATTAATAGCACCCTCGTTTTTCCCATTTTTCAATACTCCATGAAAATGTTCATATTCATTATCTACCATATTGCTGTGAGCACCATCAGGGTGCAGGCAAGCAGTAAAGAGTCATCTGTCTAGTTTACTGCTATAAACCCAGTCCTTACCTGGACTGGTGCCCAATACTTAGATGTCCAGAAATAATCTGTCAAATGAGCAAACATGTTTATATTTAGGTTTAAATGTATATTGAGCAAAACAGGTTTCTCTTTGTCACCTAAATAAGTGTGATTTAATATGTTAATTGCAAAAACTCTAGTTGTATCAGAAGTTGATAACTGGCCATCACTGATCTGTGTTGCTAAAAGTACTTGGATCAAAGGTGGAGGATATTACTCAATCTTGATTTTAGTGTTTAGCCTTTAGATGAGGAAGGTTACTTATTAATTAGATTTGTTTCCCTTACTTATCAAGAAGGTCAGGTTTAAGAGCAACAAATAGAAAAATGCATCTACTAATGAGTATACTGCGTTTTCTCATTTCTTGCTCAACACAGTGCATTCCACCCTGAAAGGTTCTACACTATCTATGAAAATAGTATAATGTCCCCTTTTAAGGTCATCATATAATTAATGCATTTTTATAAAATTTAGATCACATTCAGATATTAGTGAATCAAATGGCCTGGCTGAAATTTAAGAATAGATAGGGAAGAAGTACATTCAGAGTCTGATTTAGACCAACAATTTTAACTGTTAAGGTTTTTTGAACAGGAAAATGAAAAAAAACCCTGAGCAGTCAGTAAAGAACTGAGTGACAAACCTTGAGACAGGAATGAATGGAAAGGACTTCACAGTCACTTCCATGCAGACATGGATCCACTGCACATAATAGAGAAAGAGTCAGAGTTCATCAAGATTTGAGGAAAGAAGCCAGACTTATAGATTTGGGTTAAGAATCGCTTACAGAGAATGGTAAATAAATTACAACAGTAAAATCTTTAAATCTACAGAATGGCATGTTGATGGCTGAACATTAGGAATGGGCAGAGATGAATAAAAATAAAGACTGAACATGAGATTAATATGGGGAGATCACATAGTGGTGGAGCCCAC